TCCATTCCAATGTAGCTCAGGAACAAATAACAAAAACTTGCAGCAACAAAGGAATAGCATTTCACTTCATCCCTCCTCGTGCACCTCATTTTGGTGGACTATGGGAAGCAGCGGTTAAATCAGCAAAGTACCTATTGGTCCGAAGCGTTTCAACTGAAACGTTAACGTACGAGGAACTCGAAACCGTCATTATAGAAATAGAAGCTATTTTAAACTCACGACCTTTAACACCAATGTCGTCTAATCCAAATGATTTGCAGGCTCTCACACCAGGTCATTTCTTAGTTGGTGATGCACTAACAGCACCCGTAGACGCAACATGTGAAAAGGTAAAATCATCTCTTTTGACTAGATGGAATCTGGTTGCACACTTAAAACAAGAGTTTTGGAAAAGATGGCGGGCAGAGTACCTAATGAAACTACAGGTTCGAAACAAGTGGCGTGAAGAATGCAAAAACATTGAAGAAAATACACTGGTGATCCTTAAGGAAGATAATGTACAACCTTTGCAATGGCCTTTAGGGCGAATAATGAAGACATATAAGGGTAATGATGGATTTATACGAGTCGTAGATGTCAAAACCGCAACAGGCATGTTAAAGCGACCAATTCACAAACTAGCACCCTTATTTCCTGAAAACAAACCTATTAAAACACAGGAGAATCGCCATAACAAAGAAAAACGAACAATGAGATAGTCCCACGAAAACAAAGACGTGTGTCCTCCAATATAAAATTAACTACAGTACTGATATCTCTACTTTTACTCCCGATTGTTCTTTGTTCACCAGTAAACGTAACTGAACTTCGCTCCGCTCCTGGCATACATTTTGAACAAGTAGGAACAACAAAATTGATAACATCCTACTGGAAAATGATAATCTATTACGATTTAGCTCCATTTAATACAGAGCCGGACATACTAAAGGATTCAACGTTGAATCTTTTGAAGCTATGTGATCAAAGCAACTTAAACTCAACATGGAAGTTTGTGGTTCATCATTTCCAGCAAGCAGAAATTGAATTAAGAACAGCATTTGAATTTATGTCAAGCGCCCGAAATAAGAGAGGGGCAATCGATTTAGTTGGGAATATAGCAAGCTCCCTGTTTGGAGTACTCGATTTGAATTATGCAAGTGACATGTCGAAGACTATCAAAAACCTAGAAGAGCATGATGACAAACTCAAACATCTGCTCAAAAATTAAATATCAATAATTGACTCCACGATTAACGTTATAAAACAAAACCAGATAAGTCTCAAAAATAATTTCCAGGGTATAGAGACTCAATTAAACGCGATCTCCAAAAGGTTAGTTAAGGACGAACATGACCAATTATATGGCAATATTATTAATATGCTGACCATCCAAATGACAATTGCCACGATAAATTTGCAACGTACGCAATCCACAATCATGGATGTTCTCATCGATAGTCATCACGAAAAAATTAACCCGCTTCTAATTACGCCGCAACAGTTAATAACGGAAGGAGAGAAAATCCGAGCACATTTACCGTCTCATTTACAATTTCCAGTAGAGCAAGATGATATATTAACTCTTTATAAACTGATGCAAGTAAATGGGCAGGTATCAAGTGATCATATAATATTCAATATCATAATACCACTCGTTGAATGAAAAAACTTTGACATATTTCATGTAGTACCTGTGATCTCTAGCGCGACCAAGGTATTAACGTCAATAAAGCCATCAACAGAATATCTGGCTATCAATTCTCACAAGGATGAATACTTCCCCATAACAAAATTAGCACTGCAATCGTGTATTACAACTGAAGAGGACTCATACCTTTGCTCAAATGTTCAATCTATTTATGGTCGTGAAGCAAATGTGTGCAAGTGTGAAATCAATTTGTACAATAATGGAACTGGTGACGAATGCGAAATAGTTGAATTAAAAGAAACTACCATTTGGACTCAGCTGAAACACAAAAATCACTGGATATACGCTACCAAATATCCGATGCAACTCAATGCAGTATGCGGTTCAAATGCATTTCCAGTGATACTAAATAGTACCGGCATGGTAAAAATTGCATCAGATTGTGTCATCAGAGGACAACACGATTTTTATTTAAGGACACCAAGTCATAACAAGTCTGCTCAAATCAGCATATACGAGCATAGGAATTTCAACACCTGAAATTAAGCCATCTAAGCGGATAAACAATTCCAAAATTGAATATCTTCCACAATTAGAAGAACTAACAATTCTGCAAAAACAACTAACGAGGCATATATTATCTGAACTATCATCAAAGGTACAGCAAACTGAAAAGCATAGCTTATAGCTTTGTTGAATATTTTATGTGTCATTATAAGTAGTATTTTTGCTTGATATTAATTATTGTTTTAAATTAGGTCAGTAAATTATTGCACGTGATAAGTTTTAGTTGTAAGAAAAATGTATATATAGGCAAATCAATTCTTTAATAAAGTGATTCAATGATACAAACTTGAATACAACTCACCTTTCTTTTCATCAAAATACTAATGGGTTTATGTGCTCGGTAGTATATTCACGAATATAAAAAATACAAATATACCGTCCAACAAGTTACATGTGCTTGGTGAAATTCCGGTATACAAATACACATCTATAGAAAATTGAGGATAAATGCATTCTCAACACTGACGTTTTTGACGTTTGCAAATGTTTGTTTACATTTTTACTTTTTACATGTGCGCGTTTTTTAAATGGAATAAAATTTATTAAAATAAGTAAAATTAATTAAAGATATCGGAGTTTTAATAATTAATTTAATAAAATTATTTATATAAACTACGTTTCCTTTTTGTTTACTTCAAGTGACGTGCGTAAAGTGGTAGTGCAGAGATATTTATAATTTATATAATTTATTTATAATTATTTATAATTTATTATTTATAATTTATTTGTTTTCCAATTTTCTAAATGATAATTATATTTAATAAATTCATTTATAGAAACATCCAACTATTGAAGTATGCTGTAGACGAGTGTGCTGCATAGTGATTCCAGGTAAGTATTTATTTATTATCTCGATGTTAATTGTAATGCACTTTATTTCTTACAGATGATTCACCAATAACAATAAAGTCATAATATGTAGGTTGGAAATTTGTACAAAATTTTCAATCCTTACAAACATTTGTTAATGGTAGATTAACTTGGCAATTGTGTAATTTGTGAATTTTAAAGTATAACCATCCGCTTACATAAATAAATGCATTTCTGCTAAGAAATATATTTCATTCATATCAATATTAACAACAAAATCAAAACATTGAAGAATACAGTACATGGGTTCACTAAACATATAAGACTCCTGCCAGAGCGTGTTGATCACTAATGTATCACTGCACACAGTTTCTTAACTCTGATCAGGGGAAATTGGAGTAGGTGAATTAATGGTAGGGCCTACGGTAGAAGAATCAAATTCAATTAATTGCTCAGTATTACCATTTACTGTACAATTCAAATGACTTACGCACTGTTGTGTATAATGCAACATTCAAATGTAAACAATAAATTTTTCTTATTGTTTATTCTCAATTTATAAATTATTTATTGAATCTTTCTAAAACAGAAACTAACAATAAGTGGATCAAGTCTTAAAACTAAATTGATTTTTTCCCTAAGCCATTGCTTTGGAAAAAACTATTGAGACATTAGACTATTTATAATAACACAATATTGAAAAATAAAATTAAAATTAAAATTGAAACTAGAATTAAAATTAATTTAAAATTAAAATCATTTCAAAAAATCACATTCAATTCAATTACATAAAATTTATAATATATTAAATCAAATCAAAATTTAGAAAGTTAGCAGATGTCAATTGTGTCCTTCTTTTTTAGACATTTGTGGCCTTTGTTTAGTAGCAGCTTGTAAGCTGATTGGTTAGGGTGATCTTCTAACTTTAAACGGTACTGACTGGTACATCGAGCCACTTCTTCTGTTATTATTGGTACGGCCAAATCTCTATTAAGGTTAGCATTTTTTAAACCACGGTGCACCTGTTATCATTTTTAGGATTTTTTAGGATTTGAATCGTCAGTAAATGTTGCAGGTAAAGTGTTTTATGAAGTTGGTATATCACTTATATACATTAGGTATAATAGCGGGCCAATTACACTTTCTTGGTGAACTCCTGCTTTGATAGGACAAGGTTCTGATACAAAATCCTTATATATTAAACTAAAAGTTCTTTTACGTAAGTAGTTTTTTTAACAAAAGGTGAGTGTTAGCTGGCATGAGAGTTGTAATTTTATGTATTAAGCCTTCGTGCCATACTTCATCAAACGCTTGGGCTACATCTATAAATATAAAAGTGTAGTATTGTTTATTTTCAAATGAGTTTCTAACGAATGATACAATACGATGCACTTGTTCAGTTGTACTATGTTTAGCTCCGAAGCCGAATTCTTCCGGAATTATTTCGTTAGCTGAGAGTATATTTTTGCTATTATGATACTGGAAGGACGCTAATTATAAGATTCTGTAAGATTCTACTTTGGTTTTCCTAGCTTTAGATATTGTGGCAGCACCAGCCAAACATGTGCACGTTCGCAGCACCAGCCAAACATATGCATGCTAGAACATATGAACGACACGAAACGCGGACACGCAATGAATGCATATATAGAGCAACTGCACTTGTGCACGAGTCAGTCGTTCGTTACATTCGGTGTGGAATATACTAAACTGGTGACCCCGACGTGATCAGTTCTTTTCAGAACTGTTCACCAATTAAGAGTATATTTCATCAATATACAAAAAGTTCTTTTCAGAACTTAAAAATATATTGCATCAACATACAAAGGTTCTTTTCAGAACTTATTGCATCAACATACAAAGGTACTTTTCAGAACTTATTTCATCAACATACAAAGGTTCTTTTCAGAACTTGTTTCATCAACACACAAAAAGTTCTTTTCAGAACTCGGCGAGCAAAGTTCCGGCTTAGTGGCAGTGCGAAACTAAGGAAAAAATGTCGGTGCAAGAGGAGAATGCAGCATCGCTCGGACAGCAGCGCGAAGACTCGGCACCAGTGGTGAATCGCGTTTCGGTGAAGGTGCCTCCGTTCTGGCACGAGCGACCCGAAATATGGTTCGCGCAGATCGAGGCGCAGTTCGCGGTAGCAGATGTGTGCAACGACATGATGAGACTTAACACCATAGTGGCTGCCATAGAGTCCAGCATCGTAGCCGACATGGCTGACGCAGTGCTTCATCCGCCAGCAGCAAACAGGTACGAGAACCTAAGAAAACAAATAATCGAACGGTATGGTGAATCAGAACAGCGTAAAATTCAGCGGCTGTTATCAGACGTACAGCTTGGCGATCGTCGGCCTACTCAATTGCTAAACGAACTGGCGACATTGGCGAAGGATAAGGTGAGAGTCGAATTCTTGAAAACACTCTGGCTCCAGCGTTTGCCTCCACAAGTGCGCGCGATTCATCACACGTCAAGCGTAGAACTGAGCGAGTTAGCCAAATTGGCTGACAAGATTTGCGAGGCAGGCGACTATCATCAGATCTCGGCAATGTATTCAGGCAGCGGTAGTACCTGGTCCGAAGCAGAAAAAGTGTGTCAGCGCTTAGACCAAATCGAGCAACGATTGAGTCGTCTAGACATGAACTCCCGTCAACAGCAAGATAGGCGTTCACTGAGAGGCCGCAGCCGACCACGTTCCCAATCGAGCAGTCATCCAGAATGGTGTTGGTTCCACTCCAGGTTTGGGCGCAAGGCTCGCAGTTGCAGGCAGCCATGTAATTTTACAGCATCATCGCAGACAAAAAACTAAGCGCTCCTTCGCCGTCATCGAGCCGCAACGAAAGCAGCATACAATTAGCTCGACTCACCATTAAAGATCCAGTAACGTCCACCATATTTCTGATAGATACGGGTGCCGACATCTCAGTGATTCCGCGGTCATTTTTGCGTAATTCGTGCAAAGCGAGCAGCGCTTCATCAGTAAATTTGTTTGCAGCCAACGGCACCCCCCATTCGCACGTTCGGGGAGAAGCGTCTTCAGTTGCCCGTTGGGTTGCGCAGAGATTTCCCATGGACTTTCATAGTAGCAGACGTCAGATGCCCTATCGTCGGTGCCGATTTCCTAAGGCACTATGACCTATTGGTGGATATGAAACGAAAGCGACTGGTAGACAACAAAACCACTATGGCGGCTAAAGGTGATACAGTCAAGGTGCAAACGATAGAGGTGCGCGTATGCAGCGTAGGTACGAAGTACGTCGAGCTGTTACATGAGTACCGTGGCGACAATGAGCATGAATCGACGAAGTACCGCTACAACGGTGGAGCACTGCATCGAAACGACAGGCCCACCAACATTCGCCCGGCTGAGACGTCTAACTGGCAGCAAACTCGAAGAAGCTAAGAATGAGTTCCAGTTTTTACTGCAAGCAGGTATCTGCCAGCCATCTAAAAGCTGTTGGGCTAGCCCACTCCATATGGTGCGTAAAGGTGATGGAAGTTGGCAACCGTGCGGCGACTATCGAATGCTAAACGCACAGACGAGGCCCGACCGCTACCCAATTCCATTTATACATGACGTGACGTCTATCCTACAGGCAAAAACTGTGTTCTCAAAGATAGATATGCAGAAGGCGTACCATCAGATTCCAGTGGCAGCCGCGGACATACCAAAGACAGCCATTATAACCCCGTTCGGCTTGTTCGAATTCAAATTTATGACCTTCGGACTCCGCAATGCAGCTCAAAAGTTCCAGCGATTTATCAACCAGACGTTGGGCGACTTAGACTTCGCTGGTGATGCAGTTGGGGCCATTCTCCAGCAAGTAGTAAACGGAGTGCAGCAGCCATTGGCATTCTACTCAAGAAAATTGAGTCCAGCTCAAATGAAATACAGCGCCTATGGTCGAGAGTTGACAGTGGCTTATCAAGCTGTCCAATATTTCCGGTATGCGTTATTTTGCTTCACAGCAGACTACCTTTCTCGAATTGCAGCAGTCCAGTATGAAGCAAGCGAGGTGGAAAGAATTGCGGTTGAACAAACAACAGACCTAGAGCTGCAGAAATTGTTAGACGACTAGCCCGGAAAACCGTTCTATTAAAAAAGTGGAAATTACCAGATTCAGACGTTGAACTGTACTGCGATGTTTCCAGCACTCACATTCGCCCATACGTCCCAGCAAATTGCAGGCAGCAGGTATTGTCCAAGCTTCACTCCTTGTCTCACCCCGGAATCAGGGCAACTCGCAAAATCGTCCAAGCAAAATACGTGTGGCCCGAAGGTGCAATTTTCGTCCGAAGGTGTGTTGCATGCCAAAAATCCAAGGTTCAACGCCATACCCGTACGAGTATCGGTTCTTTTGCAACGGTATATGGCCGATTTCAACATATTCACTTGGATATAGTGGGCCCATTGCCACCATCGCAAGGAAAGCGTTATATTCTCACATGCATCGATCGTTTTTCGCGTTGGCCAGTAACCATTCCTTTAGTGGGCATCACAGCAGAAGAGGTGGCAGCAGCATTCATTTCATATTTCGGCACTCCGCATGCAGTCACAACCGACTTAGGACGTCAATTTGAGTCCGCTATATTTATAGAGGTGACGAAACTACTAGGAATAAAGCATTGGCGCACAACTGCCTATCACCCCCAAGCCAATGGCATGGTCGAGCGGTTTCACCGAACACTGAAAGCAGCCATACGTTGTCACGATTCCAGTAACTGGACCCAAATTCTGTCTTTAGTAATGTTGGGCCTCAGGACAGCGCCGAAAGCAGACATAAATGCCAGTCCGGCAGAGATGTTATACCGCAACCCTCTCAGAATCCCGGGACAGTTGCTGACAGAAGTCAAAATCAAACCAAGCGAAACAGACTTCGAAAAGTTACTGCGCAGAAACTTAGGTAATGAACGAACTCAACCTGGACTGCGACACGGTCAACAACCAGTCTTTGTACCCAGCGAGCTGTCAGAGAGCAAGTATGTATTCCTACGCACCGATCGCGTTCGGGCACCGTTAGAACAGCTTTACGAAGGCCCTTATCGTGTAGTCCGTCGCGATTAGAAAAACTACGTCATCAGCATGAAAGATAAAGACGTCACAGTAGCAGTAGACAGGCTGAAACCAGCATTCATGACTTTAGCTGGCATTGGCAGCAGCAGAACAACCGAACCGTCTTCAGTACAAGCACCAGGAGTCGAACCCGTCCTCAAAGACCAACAGGAAACCAGATCTGTGGTCACACGCGCAGGCAGAACAGTGCACTTTCCGGCCAAGTTGCGCGCATTCACCAAATAGAGCGATAACAAGGCGATAGCGCGGTATCACATGCGCTCCCCCGCTAAGAGGGGGGTACTGTGGCAGCCCCAGCCAAACATGTGCACGTTCGCAGCACCAGCCAAACATGTGCAAGTTCGCAGCACCAGCCAAACATGTGCATGCTAGAACATATGAACGACACGAAACACGGACACGCAAGTAGTGCATATACAGAGCAACAGAACTTGTGCACGAGTCAGTCGTTCGTTACATTCGGTGTGGAATATACTAAAAGTTCATTTTTTAAAAAAACCGATACAAATTTGTAAAAACATACCTGAAATACTTTTGCGTACTGATTTTGTAATGGTATGTATAAATAAATTATTCAGTAATCTTTTTAATACATGGAAATACATACTTTTAGTTGGATGGCGCCTCTCCCGAAACTCTAACTCACTGCTGTTCTTTCGTGATTTTGAATAAACAAACAAGCAAATCAACCATTAGTTTTAAGGGTTGCGTTCGACATTTTTGGTCTTAAATGTGCTGATTTGTAGTAAATGAGCTCCTTTTTAATGAAAGCTCTTTGTATGGTATATCATACTCATTAGTGATTATAATGTGCAAAACCGGCTAAAAACGAGACTGTGTGAATGCACTGTTGTCTGTGTTTACAATAGATAATAATTTATAATGTTGTACTTCTTCCAGAAAACTTTTTGGCATATCGATCATTAAACTAGCCTTTGCTTGTATTATAAAAGGCATATTTATCGGTTTCTTCACTGTTAAGCGAAACACTGTCAGAAATACGGCTAGATCGTTAATCGAGTCTACTGTTGCACGAAATGGCTTTTAACCGAGGTATAGGTGTATAATTATATAAAGCTCTTATCAGAATGCTGACCGGTTCATTAATAAGAAACGTCAGCAATGAGTCATACGAAATTGCCAGAACATTGATAAAATTTTTATTATTGAACACATGTAGTATTAAAATTGTATGTGGATTTTTTACATTATTAAATAATGTGCCAATCGGATTGTGTAATCATTTCAAATGAATATTCTTTTGTGAAATTGGTTTGTGCACATAAAGCATAAACCAAATTAATATAGTTACATCAATCTCAAGCAAATCTGTGTATGGGCTGCCAAATATACTTATATTAATTTTGAAAGAACGGGAACGGAACAAGTTTTCTTCTACATTTATTACTTTTTCAAGAGACGCGTCGGTGGTCGAATCGTTTTTTGGCTTGTGTTTTTCGATTAAGTTTCGGTTTTAGTTTTATTACTGGTATGTATTTTGCTTCATAAAATGCGGGACTTCAAATCGAATATATGTGCAACTTTTTTCAATTAAATATTTTCAATTAATAATGAAATTTTCTAAAAATACTTGTTTGTTTGAGCAATGGTGTTTTTAAGGTTATGTGGCCCTATTTGCAAAAAATAAAATCTGCATTTCACATATTACCATTTTATATAGGAATGAATTTCAGTAAAAGTCACAAGAAACAATAGAGCCACTGCGTGATGAGACTTAAGAAAGTGACAGCATGATTTTCAACATACAAATCAAAAACAAAAAACTGGCATTGCTTTATCTCTCAATAATCCTTATAAGAACACATATTTCTACTTTTAATAGTTAATTTCAAATAACGTTTCATTTGATATGATTGAGAATTCGTAAATTCATGAATTCGTGATTTCGTTAAAATTGGTTCAATTTGAATGTTTGAAATTTAGTTGGTTTTGTGTAAAAATGAATATAATAATGAGGTATTCTTTTTTGTAGGTTTTGCTGACATTAAAATGGATGATTTGGAAATAATGTGGGATGATGATCCACCTGAAAGGAATGTGTATGGAGTTTTAAGTGCAAACATGTCCAATTTTAATGATATTATAGAAAAATTTCCTACTGACCCAGCTTACATTGGTGCCATAATTGGCCGAGACGGCTCCAACATAAAAAGCATTAAAACAAAGTTCAACGTCAATGTACATATAAATAGTGACAACCATATAGTAACTGTCAAAGGTCGTAATAGAAAAAATGTTGACGATGCCGTTAAATACATTTTGGAAATTATAAAACACTCTGATCAGAAATATAAAAATAAAAATAAAAATAAAAATGTTTCATCTCAAAATCACGAAGTTTCTCACAATCCCAAAGTTGAATTTAAAAAAAAATCATTCGTGCCTCGTTTTAGTGCTTCTTCCAGAAATGACAATATTCAGGTTGCAACTCCGAAATCTGTAAGTATGACGTACATACAACGAGCGTATGGATATAATATAGTAGCTCATAATAAAATTTATTTAGGGAGAAAATGGCGAAAATAGATTAAGTCTACCTACAAAAAATGTATGTATTGGTGGTACTGAAAAGAAGGAAGTATTGCAGCCTATCGATTGGGAATCTCTAAATAGAAAAGTTGTAAGAAAAATATTAACAATCCACAAATGAAGATATCGATTTATTTGTTTTGCCCATATGAAATATTTTTTATTACAGGAAGAATATCGTAAGT